CGGCCAGGCCCTTCTTTATGTTGGCGAACTCGCTGGACATCAGTGCCAGCTTGCCCAGCAGGAAGTTCAGGTTCTCGTCCATGTCGATCATGTGCTTCTTGGTCTCCTGCACCTTGCTGCCCAGTCCCATCATCGTGGCCAGGGTGCTGTTGATGTAGCCATCGGATGCAGACTGAATCACTCCGAGCATTTCCCTGCTCTGGCTAATCTCGCCGGCCATGATCTCGATGCGGTGCCACACCTGGTTCAGTTCGGTCTCCAGTAGTGCACTGATGTTCTTGTTCGCCTCCTGCTGGGTATTCACCACCGTTCCATCGAGCGATGCGAAGCGCTCCTTCAGCAGCTCGCTCAACTTGGTCATCTCCTCCTCCAACAGCTTGCCCACCCGCTGCACCACATTCAAAGTGCCAAAGTCCACCTTGCGCTGTGTGTCCAATACCACCTGCGAGTTGGTCATCATGATGTTGTTGAACTTGCTCAGGGCCTCCAGTCCCTCGTTCAGCTTGGCATTGCTCTCGTTGGTCGAGGCGAAGTATTTGTTGAGGATGCCCACGTCCGTGGAGAGCTGGCGAACGTCCGCCTGGATATTGGCCTCCGTCTGCTGCAGTCGCTCCGAGGTCTCCGTTGCAGCTAAGTGAGATAAGAGGGTAAGCATAAATGTTATTGATGAAAATATGAAGTAATAATTCGATTGTAATTAATACATATTTAATACTTGTTATTTATAATATCAATGCTAGATACCCATCATTAAAAAAAATGGTTATTTTTAAAAAATCGATATTTTTTTGAATAATAAAATCATTTTTACCCTGGAAACACTAATAAATTAAAAGATACTTTAAAGTCGGTTGGTAATTGAAGATTTTAAAAGACGATCCCAACCCATAAAATGTTAATAATTTTGTGGGTAAGATCTAATAGAAGATCAAATATAATTCTTAAATCTTTCTTAGGTGCCCATATTTAAAAATTAAAATATATTTAAAAAACCAAAAGAGTTTTTAAAATAGTAATGAAAATGTTAACTTTGGAGTATTAACAAATCTATTGTTCTATTAAAGTCGATTACATTCAAAACTTTTATGTGGTATAGCAAAATTTTTAGAAAGTGTTATAGAGTAAGTTAAGATAATACTTAAACCCACCTGATTTCTGAACTGCTGACGACTCGGTCTTAAGTTCAGCCAAGGCATTCAGGGTATCGTTGTTCAGTTCCTGGATGTAGGCCCGATCATTCTCGTTCAGACCAACTGGCGCAGCAGGCCTCTGAACAGTCTCACTCAACTCGGTAACCTTTCCACCCAGCGAATTCAGACGCTCCAGGAGTTGGGCCTCGAAGTCATTGTTCTTCGGCGGAGCAGCGGTGGTGACACTGGCGGTGTGCTCCTGCAACTTGGCCTCAATCTGGGACAGCAACTCAGGTCCCTTGGGCAGACTTTCGAAGCTCTTCTGCGTTTGGTCGGCTGCCTTCTGGTTGCTTGCCTTCAGATTTTGGATCTCCTCCAGCAACTTTGCGTTGAAGCGCCTTTGCTCCTCCAGGAACTCCTTGGGAATGGCGGGGGCGGCGGGCGCTGCTGGTGGAGCAATCAAGTTGGCACTAACTGGTGGTCTCTTAAAGCACTCGTCGTTCTCCCTCATCCACTTGAACATATGATCCGTGGCCTGGTTAAAGCGATCCGACTGCGCGTTGTACTTCTCCTCTTGCTAAGGATTAGATAGTCAAAAATATAGTATTTAATGTGAAGAATCACAGGTAATATATATATGGATTTTCCACCAAAGTTTATACAACATTTCTAAAGACAAAATCGAGGCAAATCCTGTAAAAAAAACCAACTCGAGAACACTTTCGTCTTGATTTCAAGAACATTTCTTTTTGAAGAAGTGAGAAGATGTGTTCTCAAATTGGTCTTGTTAGTTTTCTGAAGAAAAACAATCTCGAAAACACTTTCGTCTTGAATTCTTAAATAGGTCTTGTTTGTTTTTCTGAAGAAAAACAATCTCAGAAACACTTTCGTCTTGATTTCAAGAACGTTTCTCCTTGAATAAGTGACAAAGTCACCCAATATCATTGTCTTACCGTAATCAGCATGGTCTCTATTTGGCTGACCCTCTCATCCAGACGCCCGAAGATTCCATTAATGGGCTCCAGACTCTTCTGTCCCTTCTGCAGGGATTGCAGGGCCTTCTTCAGCAGTTCACCCAAGGCGCGTTCCCTATGCTCGTGACGTTCCAACTTATTGTCCAGCTGGTTGTAGGAGTAGATCAGTGACTGGATGGTTCCACGCAGCTCCTCGTTGCTAGAAAGAGGCGGGGGATAAGGAGATTGCTTAAAATTAGCCTCGCTCTGGGCCATTAATCATCTGAGTGGGGGTGGAGATGCAGAATAGATGGAAATGGGAATGGGACCACCACCATCATGGGCGTCTATAAATATTGAGGGGCGCAATAGCGATCGAGGATGGGATAAGTGGTGAATGCCTGATGGCCGGGATCTCAGGGTCAGGAACCCTATTCCACTATTCCGAAAGCTGTTTGTGTGAAATGCATTGATGTTGATGGATAGAGCATAGATTTATAAGGGGGAAACATAAAACATATGCTTCTATCCCCAGTCACCCTCCGAATAGCCAGCCCATTTGCATGAAGTGTGCAGTAAAAACATTCCCCATGTCCCATCCAGAGTACGAAAATAAACAAACAAATAGGCGGAACAGCCAACATCTTGGCTTCCCTTTGAAGGCATTAGTCATTAGTGGAGTGGAGTGGCCGTGCATGGGATGCATCCATATCCATGCGATGGCCCCAGGCGCCGACAACTTCTTTTAGTTTGAAGTCTTGCACATTTCGCTAAAAACTCCTCACAGTGGAGGGTATTATAAGTCATGGGATGGCATACGGGACCAGAACCACTCCGAAACCAAGTGCGAACGAATGTGTGACATGTGTCAAAACCATAAAAAGAAATTCTAGTTTCATTGAATCTAGATTGGGGAGGGGGATTTTGAAAGTTTGAGCATCCAATTACCGCCCCTTGCGTGAGATATGATCGCGGAGTTATTGTTTTTGAGAGCATCTTATTCAAAGTGCAGTAATTGGAGCTCTTAAGACTGGGAAACCTTAATGGTTTACGAGTCCCAATGTAATTGGGAAATTAAATAGGGGAAGAAGTAATTAAAAGATTAGTGTTATAGAGAAAATGTTCTGTACTAAAAACTACATAAAAACAGTAGAATAGTGTTGAGTTTTAGTGTGGGAAAAACTATTATCATCTGATAACTGATATTACTATTATTATAAGGTATAATATTATGTTAGATCTCATATATGCAATATTTAGAAGTTCCAAACTTCCATGCCTACATATCAAACTTCATCATAGATACGAAACATTTTTTCCGGGGGGAGTTATCTTTCCAACTTTCCAAGTTAAGTAGATCGATCCAATTTACTTACGTGACTGGCCCCGCTGCAATCGAGTGCCATTGTCCGAGGGCAATTAGAGCTAGGAATACTAATTGCAGTGTCCGACTTCTTCCACCCATGGTTCGTATAAAGAGCGTTTTGATCCGATCCAATCTTTAATTGAGATGCTGATATGCAAATCCACTGCGTGACCTGGGGGAGAATCGAATGGTTATTGAAAACAATTGCAATGGCGTCGTTTCCTTTCGCTTCACATCGGAAAATGTTTATCGCAAATAACTATGGTATAAACAAATATGGGCAAGTTTATGTGCAATATTTATGGGGGTGCAAACAAATAATAAAGAAATGCCACTGATTTGCAGCTGAAACAACTGCAAACAAAGCGAATTGGTTCCTTGTCCGTTTCGTGCGGATAGACCTCGCTAAATATATAAGCATTATATAGAGCGATATTGTTCTTGCCGCGATAAACAAATGACGCAAAAATATCCACTGGACAACTGCATGTGCCAGTTTTTTCCTTCAAAAGGGAGAGGAAGTGATGCATTGAGGAAATTGGGTCAGAAATAAGCGAGTGAAATTTACGAGTGCAAAAATAAAACAGCCACCGTTAATGAGTAAAAAATTGAAAATGCTCCAAGATAGGGGGAATGTATTCGCGTTGATAAGGATTGGGTTAAAGGTTGACTAATAATGATATATCCCTCATTGTAGGCTCGTGTTTTATTCGCTAATTAAATGGTATTTTTGTTGTTAGATGAGGTAATAAAATGGAATACTCACTCGACTGCGAATTTGAAGAACTTAAGGTCACAAAAATACTTTCAAGTCTTGCACTTGGATCACTTTGATCTATATTCGGAGCACTTTAACTGGACGTCTTCACAGCTCGAGTTGAGAACGAGGAATGATGCTGGTTGTGCCGACTATTCCGGAATAGATGTGGATCCGTATTCCTCCCCGATAGCAGAGAGAACTGCTCTCCGCCTTTCTCAGGCTGCTGCATATGTTTTTAATAATTCAAATCAAAAGATGATGAGTTCCCGCATCGAGTCAAGTCGGGGTGCCAACGAATCAAAATTCAATCTATTCTAATACAAAACCATTTAGCGCAATGCAAACAAATGATATGGGTGACGAACTCTTAATGGTTTTGCGGCAAAATCTAAGACAATTAATTTTTCCAATTTATTGATTGAGATGCCTAAACTTTCCACTATAATTGGATTCTGCTGGCGCCAGTTCCAAGAATTTTGAGTACAAGTTAATAAAATAAAGCTTTTAATATGTTTGTTTACTTGTGAAATTTAAATTATAACGAAAATTAATATTTGTCACATTTAATATTTAAAATAATTAAGCTAACTTAAATATCATAACGTGTAAAAAAAAACAAGTATCTAACTAAGAAATAAACTAAATTATTTATCAAAACATATTAATTACTCAAAATATAATATTTCAAATATTTGAATTTCCTTTTTGGCGCCAATTTATGGAGAACCACCATTCACCTGGAACATAAACATTTAGTCCGTTGTGAATAGCCTTTCAGCTGGAGAGAAAGAAGAAGATGCATAAATAACAAATATTGCCGCAAATATAAATAAACAATTTATTAAATAAAATCTGATACATAAAGCAGCAATATGCCCACCCTAATAGCACTGGATGCATCGCTATCGATGCTTCGTCCTGTCCCAGGACGGAATGAGCACACCTACCAATCGCTGGCCATCAAGGGGATTCAGCATTTGCTGGACAACCTGACGGCGGCCGGAAAACTGGAGCATCTTGGTCTGCTCTCCTACTCCACGACGGCGGAACTGAAGGTGGACTTCACCCGGGACTATGACCAGATCCGGCAGGCAGTCAAAAAAGTGGAGCCGGTGGACAAGGCCTGTCTGATGAGCATGCTCAAGGCGGTGGTGTCCATAATGTCGCCATGGGGCAATCAGAACATCCTGCAGGTGGTCGTATTTACGGATTGTGGTCTCGGCTTTGGCAACACCTCAATCATCAGCTTCCTGGAAGCCTACGCCGACAAGGAAACGGAGCCGGAATTCAACTTTCTGAAAACCCTGGCCAACTACAACCTGAACTTTATCTGTTTGGGTCTGCACGGTGATCACTATTTCACTAGGGGATTGGCTGTATACCAACAGCTACTGGACAAGGTCTCCCTAAAGGGTGAGATTAAGAATTTATATGATATACAAGTCACTAAGGATCTGCTCTCCCTTTTAGGCCAGCTGTTTATGACCAAACCAGCTAAGAACACCGATGCTGTCGAAGGAAATCCCAATCCCAACCCTAATCCTAGCCACAAAAGCGAACTGGGACGCACTACGGTTTTCGAACTAATAGAGCGGCTGTGTGAGTCCAGCTACAAGTCCTCGGAGGTGACCCTTAAGTGCGGCAGCTACTTCCGCATGGAGGCGCCTGTTCTGCTCTGGCCACCCACGGCACCTTATGAGCAAAAATCTTCAGTTTTCGGCAGAGAACCCACCACTCGCCACATTGATCAAAGGATTGAGGTGTGCGGTTTTCTAGCACTTTCGGACATTGGTTCGCCGGCTACACTAAGTCGTCATTGGGTGCTGCCGAAGGTGGAACGTGAAAAGTCTGGCGGGAGCCGAAGATCTGGAAGCTTGCCGCCAGCAGCCAAGCCACCAAAACTTAACCTAGATGTCAGTAATCCCAATTATGAGCTGGAGAAGCTGGAAACCGATATACGTGACTTCTACGCCAAGGATCCCAAGGACACCGAAGAGAGTGGCGATGATGATGTGACCATTGTCCTTAAACCTGGTCCTCAGACGGAGCAGCAAAAGGAAAACCTTTGCGTCCTTCTTCACGGAGCTCTCAAAATGGAAAACATGGCCGCTTTGGTTAAAGTGGCCGAAAAGTGGTATGGATTCATATATGCATTCACCGATGGCAAGAAGAAATCCAATCTGATGTTAAACATTCTTCCACCTGGTACAAATGTTATACCCTGGGTGGGAGATCTGGAACTGCTGGGATTCCCCGAGGATTTGGCTCCTGGAGAAACAGCGAGCTTTCCAGTGCGCGCCGATCGGAGATCCTATTCCCAGAGCAGTGTGGTGTGGATACGACAGGCCAGCCTGCAGTCCGATGTCCAGAAGGTACTGCGGCATGCCAAGAAGATGCCCGATAAGACGCAGCATTTCTACAAGGAGCTCAATCGGATTCGACGAGCTGCTTTGGCCCTGGGATTCGTGGAGCTGCTGGAGGCCTTGGCCATGCTGCTGGAAAAGGAGTGCGCCCATCTTAGCCTGAATGGAGCCAGCAACGAGTGCACCCTGCAGCTGCAACATGCTGCCACCGAATTACGAAAGACCTCGAATAGAGATATTAAGTCTACGATTATACCGCTCCAGAAAGTGGGGGCTTCCGAGGCGGGCAGCACAGCTGCCACCGCTCCTGCCCCTGCGTACATGTATTAAAAAATATATTATGACTTTTATGTAAAATATGCTGTTTTTTTTGTTGTTTTAAAATGATTAATTTAGAGATGTTTCCTCAAATTTGCTGAGAATATTTAATTTTCAAATTTTAGCGGTATCTTTATACATTTTTGCCTTTTACAGCACTTTACTTTTTGCGTATCGTTATCGATGACAGAACTTTACAGGGCGAAAAAACAATAACAATGGGAAGTCCGGAATTACCCACAGATCCTGGTCAGGACCTATTTCCAACTCCAACGGTGGAGCATCCTCGAGGAGGAGTGGAGAGCGAGGACGATGATGATTCGGATGTGTACGATGGCTATCAGCCACTCGCCTTAGATGACGATAACGATGGTGCGGATCCCGAGGAGATGACCAGGGAACCGGTGGCTCCCTCTGAGGACAACGATGGGGACATTGACTTGATGACGGCGGAGGTCACTCATGGCGACCCCAACATGCCCCCAATTGAGCCGGCTGATGTGGAAATCGAGAGGCAGGTTTGGAGTGAGCCAAGACCAAGGGAACTCCAAATGGATCTGGATAAAACGCGAACAGAACAGGTAAATAAGAATTACAGTTCAATCATATGTACTCCAAACAACCCTGCAACAAATTATTAAGATAGTAATGACTATCCTTTTTTTTAGATCCTCAAAGCCATGTCCACGATAACGTTGCCCAACATCACCGTGCCAGATTGGGCCAAAGGAGTGCCCGAAGAGCGCTGGAAGCATGAACTCCTGGACCGGATCAACAACCGACAACAGCCACCAGAACCTTCATCGTCGTCGGCGGAGGATCCCCAGCATTCCAAGTCTAAGAAAGATTAGCGTTGTATATGGTGTATTTAGAAAAAAACGTTCTCCAATATATATGTATAATTTAGAATGATCGGACAGAGATCCTAGAACGCAGCCAGCAGGGCCTGGCCCGCCGAGTTCACCTTGCTGAAGTTCTCGCCCTGCGGGGTGTTGGTCAGCTCCCTTAGCTTGTCCATCACGTAGTCCACGGACACCACCTGGGCGATGGTCTCCTGACCGCAGGTAGTGGTGGTCAGGTTGCCGATGGCCTGCATGGAACGGTAGCACGCCTCCAGATCCTTGGCCCACTTGAGCAACTCCACCACCCCGGAGGTAACCATATGACATACCTCCGACTTGGTCACGCTCACAGTCTGGGCGATTGTAAGGTTCAAATAGAAGGTGGCCACTGCAATCTGAAGGTTCGCGCTGCCCGACTTGATGGCCCCCACAAGTTCGATAATCTCCGGCAAATGGGACTCCACCTGCTGCCGTCCGGTGGTGTGACTCAAGCTATTGGCCAGGCAACGGACTACCATTAGCTGATTGGCCGCTGAACCAGTCAATTGGGGGATCACGATACCCAGGAAATTGTGGCTATTATTAAGGACAGTAAATATGGGCTCGTTCCGCACGGCCAGGCGAAGAATGTCCAGCACGGGAAAGAGCATGGCCGCTGGCCACTTCAGCAGGATAATCAGAGCTTCCAGAGAGGTTAGATCTAGTTCCGGTGTTTGTTCGGTTAGTTTGATTACAGCCAGCAAGACTTCGTCTCCAACTCGGCCATCGGCAGGCGTTAGCTTGTTATTGAACTCCCTGAAATCAGGAAGGGATTAGATAAATTGCATCTTAGGGAACATTTCTTTACCCACTTCATCTTCTCCAGCACCTTCTTCGCATCACACGTGTCGAAGGTGCGGTAGCTGCTCACGGGAAAGTGCTTGTCACCGGGTCGCACAAAGTTCACATCAACCTGCGATTGGGTGTTGCTACTTGACGTGGAGTAACTTGATGCGCCTGTAAAGGGGTCCACATTGCCGCCACTCCTCACATTGGTATTGCTCGATCCAGGAACATAGCGAGAGCCGCCAGTGAAGGGATCCTGATAGCCAGTAGGCGCTTGTTCCATCGCCACGGGCGCACTTTGCGAGTTCTTCACTATAAAGTTAGCCACCTGATCGAGGTAGGCCTGCGGCAGGTTATGGCGATGGATAAAAGTCTGGGCCGCCTGCCAGGGATCCTCGCCCCGGTTGTAGGGCAGCTTGATGGGTGGCTCCGTGTCGGAGATGTCCACGTTGAACACATAGTCGTACTCCTTGCCCTCATGCAGTTTCTTGCCGGAGCTCGCCTGCGTTCCTCCGGAGGCACCAGTTACATCACCAACAAGATTCCAATTGCCCAGCTCCCAGCTGTAGCACTTTACGGAACCATCAGGATGACGCACCATCTTCGTTTGCCCATCCCGGGTTCCATTGGCCAACAGAGCCTCGGGACCTGGAAGGCTGAAAAAGGATTACAGGATTACAAAAACTTAAAAAGGAAAACCACTCAAAAACTTACTCTGTTTTCTTGACACCCCCAATCTCCTCGTTCATCTGCGACTTCCTGGTGGCCACAGCTAAATCGAAGGCTTTCAGGATTCCTTCGCTAGCTTGCCGAGCCGGAACCTGGCTAAAGACCCTCACCACGCCATCGCTGCAACCGGTGACTATGTCGCCGTTGTTCAGACAGGCTACAGACCACACCGAAATGGCGGGATGAATGATGGGAGCACCCAGTTCATCGCCGGTGATCACATTCCACATGCGCAACGTGCTGTCCTCACCGCAGGAGACCACCACTTGATCGCCCAGAGCTCGATTCCTGTCCATCGAATAGATGTAGTTGGTGTGTCCGCTCAACTGGCGAACGCACTCGCCATCCTCGTTCCAAAACCGCAGGACAGCATCGTTGCCGCAGGAGAGCAAAGTGTTGGCCTCCAGGCCGATAAGGCCCCTCACGCAATCCGTGTGTCCCTTGAGCAGGCGCAACTTCTCGCCCTTCGCGTTCCAATAGTAGATGTTCTTGTCGGCTCCACCGGTCACATATTTTCCCTGCTCCTTCAAGGTGGCCACTGCCCAAACGGCTGCCTCGTGACCCTCTAAGGCAATAAAGGTCACATCACCCGCCTCGCTGATGCTCCACACCCGAGCCGTTTTGTCCCAACTGCCGCTGATGAGGCTGCGAGGCGCCAGTCCTTCCGCGAGGGCACACACCGTGGACCCGTGACCCTTGAGGGTGAGCAAAGGCACAAAGCCATCCTGCTGGTAAATGCAGATGGTGGCATCGTTGCTGGCGGTGCAGATCCACTGCTCCGACTCCAGGTAGTAGATGTACGAGATGAAGTTCTTGTGGTCCTGCAGGGTCAGGCTCTCCAAGTACTCATTTCTGGGGGAAAGAAACGGGGGCTTAGGATGGGGACTTTGCAGGTGCTACGACTAGTCGCCAACTCACCCAGTGGGCTTCCAGAGCTTGGTGCTCTTGTCCCGTGAACCGGACAAAATAACCTGGCCGCCTTCCGGAGTGGCACCACCCACCGCCACTGCTCGCACATCCAGGCTGTGACCCAGGAGCTCGCAGCTCAGCTTGTAGTTGTCCAACGATGGCTCCATGTCTGTTGTCTGTAGGTGCAATGCTTTTCTGATTATCCTGGTCCCGAATCTCCGTGTTACTTTGTTTCGCCGGCTGTCGAGCGATATTGCCATTCGCTGCGAAAAAATCTGCACACTCAGATAGTGGTGGGCCAATCCATCCGGCTCAAGGTCAATAAACCTCTTACGATAGTTCCTAAATGTAAGATATTATAATTCAGGGCATGGAAAATAAACTAAGAGGTCCTATAAATAACTTTAAATATCACAAGCAAACTAAATTTAAAACCACTGATTTTCTTGACTTTAAATTATATTCCCCCATATATAAATAAAATAAATATATTTCCTTAAATATTCTGATGAAAGTACTCTTATTTAATATTTCCTTGAAAGTTACAATGAAATAACTTTTAATTATGCCACTTATCTACATTAAAAAACCAAGAAAAGAAATAAATTATATTATCAAATTTCATTATATATATTTACTGAAATATCGATATTTAAACACTATCTATCGAAAGCAGTTATACTATTCGATTTGCCACCACTACGCTAAAAAGTATTGTAAATTGTAAACATATGTATGTTTTGTTTACATTTTTAAGAAATGGGAGGAAAAAGTTATTATTGCGACTACTGCTGTTGTTTTATGAAAAACGATTTGAATGTGCGCAAATTGCACAATGGTGGTATTTCCCACACAATTGCCAAGACCAATTATATGAAACGATATGAGGGTAACAACTTCTGCAAACTATCAAAAATATATTTAAAATTTAAAAAATTATAGATCCCAAAAAGATATTGGGCGAGGAACGCAAGAAAACCCCTTGCAAGCGATACTTTGGTGGCTACTGCAAATTTGAAATGTATTGTAAATATTGTCACTATAGTGAGAAGGAATTACAGGAGCTGGAAAAACTAGGTTTGAAATAAGGTTTATGTTTTAAGTAGAAGAAATGAGTTTTTAATTTTACATATTATATATGTATTCTTTCAGTTCTTGCCAAAAAAAAGGCCAACTCCAAAAAGAGAAAGAAATCCACAAAATGGCCCTGGAAAACTCATACGCAAAAGGGATTGCCTATATCATTACAACCCATTCAGTTAGCCAGGCTCGAAAGAACCTATTTTGAACTAAGCTGGGGTTAACGAACAGATATATGTATATTTACATCAGCACATTTAAGTCAAGTATTCAAAATGCCAACTACTTTCTCCATGATGCGGGCCACCTTCAGATTAATGCGCAACGTACGAGCATACTCGTAGTGAAACGATTTCGGGGAATGCCTGCTTAAGTTCTCCTCATCCGGATCGGCCAGGTGTGCCAGCAGGAAATAGCATAGGTGTTCTGTAAGATTAGAATTTCATTAAATGAATACACAATTTAACAAACTGCTAATCAGTAAATTAAAAACCTACCCTGCTCTCCTTCGACGGCGTAGAAAAGGGGCGGATTGCCACCCCTTACCTCGGAGGCATTAATCACTTCCATTTTATGTCGACGGTTCTTCAACTTGGATTTACTCAACTCCAGTCTTTCGCAGGCACGATCGTAGTACCTGGCGAAAGCCTTCTCATCGCTTTCATTGGCATTAGGAACCTCCTGCGTTCTCCTGTACACTGTTTCCCCCAATTCCCGCTCATCTATTATATCCAATATTGCTTCTGCAACCAGGAACTGATTATTACGCACTGCCAGATGCAAAACTGTATAACCATCATCGTTTGTTAGCAGTAGACTATTAAGATCGATGCGCCGCATCAGTAACCTAATCGACTCGATATTTATATTGTTTATCACCGCCAGGTGGAGAGCTGTATTTGAGTTCTCATAGAGGTGATCGGTCTGGCAGCCAGCCCGCAAAATAAGCGATATAATCTCCGTATCCGAGTCGTGCGTCAGGGCGAGTTCCAGGCAATCTTCGCCATCGGAGCTGACCAGCTCATTGATATCAACGTTGGCGTGATGGCAGACGAACATCTGACGCTTTACGCCGTAAACATCTCCGTTTAGTATTTCGTCATGGATGGGTCTGAAAGGGCATAAGTTGTATTTATAGAGAAGATGATATAATAATGATATGATTCATACGTACAGCAATCCTTCTTCGGACACTATACGGGCCTTCTTGAATTCATTGGCCATTATTCGTATAATCCGGTCTTTACTGCTGCCATTTATATAGTCTTCCACCCGGGTGAGCTCATCCAAATCTAGGGATATATCGGACAATACGGACTGACGACGCTGAGGGGTTGCTTTCGAAAATCGGTTTTCCCCCGAACTTGAGGATTTCTGTGAAAAATATTTTTAAAGTTAATATCAGTAAAGTTAAATATGTATTTCCTTGTTATGAAGATAAGGGGCTGGACTTAAAAAATTCACAATTCTGATTAATTTTGCCTTAGAAACTCGTAATTTTACTTGCGAGTCATGGGCTTGTAATCAAGATTTCTGTGCAAATATTTCGAGCCCAGAATAATTTACCATGAAATACATTGTTTTACTCACAGAAACATCTTGCTTTTTCTTCTTGGTGACCACAGGTGTCAGCTGCTTTTCCTCTCGCTCCTGGAGGGCCATTTCAGCCGCTGATCTCTTGACCACCTGTGGCACGCAGGTATTTCGCTTTCTTCCGCGCTTTTTAGGAACTTTTATGGGCTCTAAAAGTGATTCCACAGGGGTGGAACTTGAACTCTCCTGAGTGGTAGTGGTATTCCCCGTAGATTCTGATGATTCATTCTTAATGGCAGGCTTTTCTATTGATTTTATAGGTTTTTCATCGGGTTCCGTTTCAGTTTGCGTCGAGGCATCAACTTTTTGGGCCCCACAAGAACATTGTTTACCCTGATACGAGATAGCGATCTTATCGCTATTGTTATGCCCGTTCATCGCGTCGATCACCCGTTGAACGAGGGCTTTATCGGGAATTCGCATGAGTAATTTGAAAATATCCTCGTAGACCGGCTGGAAGGACTTGCGCTGGATGTAGGTGGTAGTGCCCAGTGGAGCGGGAATGGAAACCCGAACTACTGCTGCTTGTCTGCTCAGCAAAAGGTCCGAACCGCCAGCGACAACTGGCTGTATGTGCTGCGATTTCGTCAATAGCACTTTCTTCATCGTGACCGAGTTTCAGTATACTACTCGATTTTACGATGTCAGCAAGAGATAAGATGCCTCTGTTTGCCTTCGATTTTGGGGGGAACTCCAAGTTTAGTTGTATCCAAAATAAAATAAGTTGGTTTTTCCCCAAGACACGCTGCACGGAATGGCAAGGTGGTGGCACTGGCGCGCTTTTCAACACTTTTTCTAGAGGTGTCCGATAGTTGCGATGACCAATCGAACTGAACAACGGGGTTTAATATAATTTAATAAAATTAATTGTATACTTTGAAAGGTGAAACTCATTTTATTCATAGAAAAATCATCAGCATTTGGGAAAATAAAAAGTAGGTAGTATTATTGGTAGTATTATTGCTTATATATTTCTTAATTATATATTAAATGTTTAATATTTATTTAAAGGTTTTATTCTCCTTTTATTTATTCTGACTTCTAGCTCATCGTACTAATTCTATATCTATTAATAGTTTATTAGTTATAACATTCAAATACACTTATAATTCACAAGGTCCCATCTCTAGATTCGCGAATCTTATCGATATTTCGCTCGCGGTGAATGGCAAAAGGGTCTTAAGTATTCCTGAGAAAAAAATACGGTCCGACATACGGGCACCGGGGTTAAGTTTACCCAAAATTAGGTAAATTTAAGGAAACTAGGGGGCTCTTAAATAGGAGCTCTCTGATACATATTGCCCGGCAATCGGATTGGCTACCCCAAGTCGCCAATGGACTCGCGAAACGGCCGGGGTTTTTCTAGGGGCAGTGGAAATGACAGGGATGGGGGCAGTAATTACTACAGATCCAGGTCCCGATATAGCCGTTCCCGATCTCGTTCACGGTATGAATAAATCCTTAACCCATAAGACAACACTTATTAACAAACACAAACATTTTCCAGTGAGCGGAGCCGGGGATATAGTGGCTTCCGGCACAGGAATTCTAGATCCCGGAGTAGGGATCGCTCCCCCGTGTTCAGACATGAGCATCGTGGTGGTCGAGGTGGTAATGGTGACCTCGATCTGTACCACAACCTGATCAATGATGACCATAGGGAGGATCAGCGCAACTACACTTCTCGAAATAACTTTGATAATCGTCAGTTCCGTAGGGATGATAACTTTGATCGAAGGAATCGGGATAGAGATTGTGATAGTGAAAGGGTGCTGAATGACTATGAGTACGAACAGCGCTGTAGGGATCTAGATTCGCGAGACCGTAACTCCATGGACAGGGACCGGTTTCAGGAGAGGGGTCACAGCAGGGAGCACAATAGACCCTGGAACAGAAACTATAATCGTGATGATCGAAGCAGAAGCAATGAGCGGAACACGTGAGTGGATCATATTTCAAAAATATGATGTTACTATCATCCATGTAATAACAACAACCAAAAACTGATGAATACCTTACCCCTACTCCTTTCAGACGACCCCGAGATCATCGTGTGTACAACGGCGGTGGAAACAATAATGTGCCCAACCACAGTCGAGAACGAGAAAGGGATTGGGAGCCTGAGCGGGAGCGCGTTCGGGAAAGGAGAGTTTCATCAGATTATGACAGTGATGAGGGTCACATGCGAAGGAACAAGTATCGAGGAGCCGCCGAAGCCCTCAATATAATCATTATCTTCGGTCTCACCAAGGATATGACTAGAGCAGATGTAAGCTATAAAGAAATAATGCAAATAACAACCTGTTAATTATACCATATCTTCTTTAGATAATGAGCGAGCTGATAAAGGTCAACATGGAGCCAGCCTGCATTCGCATTATCCGGAAACATGGATCAGGTGGGTTACGAAATCACTGACTTTATACTTTCAGCATAGACGTGAGTAGGTCCAAAAAGTATTTGCGCCTATGCGCCAAGTGGAGACGAACCATGTACCAATCGAATTTAAGCGGCCACATATGAAACGAAAAAGAAAAGAATACAATTTACCACAAAATTGTTACAAACCTATCGAAACATTCAACAATTTTTGACGAAAACATTTTGTATCTGCTTCTATCCGTAAATTTAGATTCATCACGCGGTATAGCGTTTGTCGAGTTTAACACCGTTGAGGAGGCGAAACAATGGATGGATATTACACAGGTATCAGCGCAATCAACTAGAAACCCTTTGCACATTTGATCATCAACAGTCAAGGTTCTGCCATTGGCAATGATAGTGAAAAGTGTTTCTCCGTTTGGCTTTCTTATCCCATCCAAAAAATGGCTTATTATTTCGTAACCTAAGATTACCAGAATCCTAGAAACATGCAAGCTGAACACGAAGCTATTGTTTCACTATTATTGCCCGAGGAAGAGCTACGAGGAGATCGTCAGCAGCTGAAACTTCGCGTTACGAAACACAGAAGCAATCCGGTGACTGTGTAGAGTGTGAACGATGGAATCCCTTCGATAAGTTACTAATCCTCAACCTTTCTCTTTCCTATTTCCATGTCTGGCGCTACAGGGCGTTCTGAAGTTGAACGATCAGCGGGTGACCATGCAGTATAGTCACAAGCGCATTCAGGATTGGAATTGCAACAAGGTAGGTGCATTAAGCTAACCATTTTCACTGTATTTATTTCAATATATTGACACTTTCAGTGCGGCGTCTGCAACTTCAAGTTTAGATTCTATTGCTTCGTGTGCAAAACATCCCGGGAGGACAGCGAAACTACCTTCTCATCCGGCAGCGAAGGAGTGGACGAAGTCAGCAGCATTCTCACTAAAAGTATGCAATCCACATATGCTCTCTTGCCATTCCAATGTACCTAAAACTTTCCCAATCCATGCAGAGATCATGCTTCGGAACCTAGATGCCTTGACCAACGAAGAGGGTGTGCTCACTGCCCTCCAGGAGCATCTGAAGGATCTTAGCAAGACGATCAGCAAGGTGATTATCAGTCGGGATACCTTGACTCAGGCATCGCGTGGAATCTGCTACCTTCACTTTGACACTCTCGTGGACTCCATGAATGTGCACAATGCCTTGACATCGCTGGATCCTCCCCTGACTCTAGACGACAGAGCTGGTAAAATGTTCTGGTAAAATGTCTATTACCCACAAGTAACTTATATTTTTGTTCAGTGGCCGTTACCTATTGCAATGACCTGGAAGAACGCCAAGCATTGCCCAAGGATCCGAAAGCCAAAGCAGATAAAACCAGTCATGAAATGGTTAAGGGTGGCGACATTTCTGCAGTTCCACCCACAGGATTGGGTGGGAACTACACCCTGGCCGATGTCCCACGTCTTGCAGAGTATAGTGCCTCCTTGTACGCCTCGAATCCCGTGGAACATGCTCATTACGTCCAGTACTACACGGATTATTACACGGCGGAAATAAACAAGAAGAACAGTGATCCTCACCTAACAGAGGCCAACTCCGGAGCAGCGGTGGCCCTCTCGGCCATTCAGCGTAAGCAGAAGAAGATGAGTAGTATAGAGACAACGATCACGGCGGCGGCCACAGCTGCGGCACAGGCAGCGGCGGAGGTGAAGGCCTCATTCGCTGCTCAGGCCGTTAGTGCTCCCAGGGGCAACGATGGAAAGACCTATCGTAAGTGGCCATATCCAAACGCTTCTAAGATTTTCATTAAACCTAATTATTTTTCTTCATCTTGCAGCCACTCCCGATGTGACCCAGTACCAGTATGATGAGACCTCCGGCTACTATTACGATCGCTCCACAGGTCTCTACTACGATGCCCACTCGCAGTACTACTACAACAACGAGACGGGCGCGTACCTCTATTGGGATCAGCGGAGGAGCACCTACGTGCTGGCCACGCCAGCTTCCACTCAGGCTGCCCTCCAGGAAACGCTAGCCGAAGCAGAACAGAAGGAGGAGGAGGCCAAGAAGGCAAAAGAGAAGGAAAAAGACAAAGAGGGAGGAAACAAGCACGACAAAGTCAAGGTGGCCAAAAAAATTGTCAAAGACATGGAGAAATGGGCCAAGCAGCTGAATCAGAAAAAGGATTACACAGAGGTGGCCACTCCGCAACCAATATTGGGCAATGAAGGTACCGCCACGTCAAGGGCCATTCAAGGAGGATATGCTGATGTGGGCTTCTCCATTCTGGAGAAAAAGGAGCGCGGCAAGCTGAATGACTATGTGCCTCAACCGGCTCCGGCTCCGATGAACAAGCTTGTAAATGCCTATGGCGGAGCATCAGACTCTGAGGAGGACAATGCTCCGAGCTTGCCAAAAACACAAAGTTCAGCGGGACCAGAGGGTATATCGGCAGGCGCCGGATCTAATGAGTCGGATTACGTGGATATTCAGAAGCTAACCTGCTTGCTCTGCAAGCGTGCCTTCCAGTCACTGGATATATTGCAGAAGCACTTGAAGATGTCCACGCTGCACAAGGAGAACCTAGCCAAGCTCAATCCAAATTCTGGAGGGGATACTAGCATTGATGAGGCACTATCGTACCGCGACCGTGCCAAGGAGCGCCGGTTGAAGTACGGCGAGAGCGATCCTCCTCCGCCAAATCGCAGCAGGGAGCGATTTGAGCAGGAAATAAAGACTTTGCAGACGCGGCCCAAGGATCCCACTGGGGCAGCTCCAGCCATGCCCATCAGTTCGAGCAACGTGGGCAGTCGTCTGCTGCAGAAGATGGGATGGTCGGAGGGACAGGGATTGGGCAGGAAGAACCAGGGACGCACCCAGATCATAGAGGTAAGGAATGAAAGTTTGCCTTTTCTTTTTTACAGGACTAAATTATATGATATTTTTCTTCATTTAGGCTGAGGGACACACCAACAATGTGGGTCTGGGCAACAAGTCGGGTAGCATGTTACCACGCTACGACTACAAATCGTACATCAAGATGAAGATGAAACAGCGTTATGAGAATGTCTGAGAGTAGATTTATAATTTTAAGCCGTTTTCACATGTTAATTTTAAAGTATAATTGAAATATTTTAGCTAAAATATTACGAAAAGCTAGACCCATTTACCATATTATATATGAATCTTTGAGCATTTTCGGTTGCAAGTTAGAACTGAGGAAAATAATTTTCCTCATTTTGAACTGGAACATGTGAAATCGGCTCTTTAGCTAAGCATTTTATAGTTTGAGTTATGATTAAGCGACTTCATATCCTCATTTGATTGTACAAAAATAAATCTATCGTTAAAAATTTTGAATACTGGGATGTGTTGTAAA